CCCCCCCCCGCCGCCCCCCGCCCCCTCCGTTGCCCGGTAGCCTCACGTCCCTCCCCCATCCCGCGCCCCCCTTGCCCTCCTCGCCCTCCTAGCCCCCCGCGCCCTCCTCCACGCCCGACACTAACGCCGCGCCCTTCAGTCCCTGCCCCCCTCCCCCCGCCCTTCTCGCCCCCGTTGCGCCCCCGGCACCCTCCCCGTCCTCAACCCCTCGTGTTTCGCCTGCCGTGCCCGCGCCGCCGCCGCCGCGGCCGCCTCTTCCTTCTTCCTTGCGCGCTCCCTGCTCCTCTCCGCTTTCGCCTCGGCCTCTGCCTTGTCTGCGCGTTCCTTTGCGTCAACCTTTGCCAGGAATTCTTCCGAGTTGATAATGCCTTCGTCGGGAAGGCCCAAAGAGCCCGCGAGGTCGCCATTTTCTTGGCGCGCTTCCTCTGAGTCAGGAGACCGCCGAGCATCACCGTGCCTACTTTGAGTCCGGTAATGGTATGTCCTCCCGCCTTCAACTGCCTCAGGCCCCTCTCTCCGATGGCCTCTTCCAGCTGCTCGTTGGTCATGGCGATGGGGACATCCTCTGGGGGTGGGCGCCGGTCGGCCCCTCTTTTCTCTTCGCCGTGCCCTAAGCCGGGTCAGCGCTCGATCCATGTCCACAGGTCACAGCCCCGCCCCGCCGAAGGATGCTTTGTTCCGCTCCGGTGTAAAGCTCCTTTGCCAAGCCACCGCGATCACGCCGGGCACGTCACGCTTCAGCGGTAACAACCCGCCGTTTGCGTGGTAGTAGTCNATGTAAAGCTCCTTTGTCAAGCCGCCGCGATCACGCCGGGCACGTCACGCTTCAGCGGTAACAACCCGCCGTTTGCGTGGAGGTAGTTAGCAGTCTGAACTACTGCTGTACTCTACTCTAGACCACTCTAGACCACAGCCAGCGTCGACTTCGGCAACATGGAACAGGTGCGAGGGCGCACAGCACAGGTGAGATAGAGCACAGTACGTATGTATACCAGAAGAACGCCCCGTATCTTTGAAAATTCGGCCCCACACCAGAACTCCGCAAGATATTGACATGCCATCTTCGCGGTCTTTGCACACGAGCTCGCACACTGCAGCTTCTACTGATACCACACTAGTCTAGACTAGACTAGTCAACAAGTACGCTTGTACATCCTCACCTGTCTCGCCCTTGTTGTGCACGTGGTCGGCCTCCGGCTTGTGCTCGTCACGAGGAGAGCTGCCCAGTGCTTCTTGTAGAACTCGACCATGCAAGGCTCCTTGTCCTCGGTGATTCTGTTTGACTCGTAGATGCGAGTCGTGCGCTCCGACACCTGTGGGTGCCTCTTGAGGAAGCCAGCTAGCCAGTCCTTCCCCGGACCCTTCTCTGGATCCCAAGGGACCGGGCGACCGTCGTGGCACAGCTGTCTAACGGTTTCTAGCAGGTGCAGCCGACCCACAGCCAAGCNTACGCTTGTACATCCTCACCTGTCTCGCCCTTGTTGTGCACGTGGTCGGCCTCCGGCTTGTGCTCGTCACGAGGAGAGCTGCCCAGTGCTTCTTGTAGAACTCGACCATGCAAGGCTCCTTGTCCTCGGTGATTCTGTTTGACTCGTAGATGCGAGTCGTGCGCTCCGACACCTGTGGGTGCCTCTTGAGGAAGCCAGCTAGCCAGTCCTTCCCCGGACCCTTCTCTGGATCCCAAGGGACCGGGCGACCGTCGTGGCACAGCTGTCTAACGGTTTCTAGCAGGTGCAGCCGACCCACAGCCAAGCAGTGACGACCAGCGTACGGCAGAACATCTTCAAAAGAATTTTCCTCTTCTTCGCTCAGGACAGTCGCGAGACCAACTATTGCTTTCATGGCCACCGCGCCATCGAGGCGGCTCTTAATCGACCACCTATCTAGCCCAAAGAGCCCTGTGGACATTGGCCGTGGTAGTCACAGTGTAGGAAGGTTCTACGGAGATCTTGGGGACTCCGTGTGTGAAGATATCACAGGGGCCATACCCTGTGTGTGAGGATTGTGTGGACTCTCCGTCTTGTGTTCCACTCCTCCTATCTTGTGATCGATGATATAATACAAGTGAAGAAACAAACATCACCAGCCCCTTGGGGGAAAGGAGTCCTGGTGGCTCGAGGACAACTCCAACTGTCCATA